TCTGAAATGAACAATATTTGCATGTATATAGACTTAAGATGTTTCAACTGGGGAAATGAGAAGCTGATCTGTGTGCATGTTTGTCTGTGTGTGTGTTTCTGTGTTTGTGTAACATATGCCAAAGTGAATATTTTAAATCTGACTTTTCTTTTCAAATGTCTGGAGAGGGCCCCGTGTCCGATTGGCGACCTGTCCAGGATATACCCCTCTCGCTCTATGGTAGCTGGGATAGGCTTCCTCTAATATAAGCTGAGAAAGGAGATCTTTGGGTTCCCAGAGAACCTTGGGTAAGGCTCTGTGATTTCATTTCAACTTTGTTCATGACGAGCTCACCAACAATTATATAACTTAACTCCATGAGGTGAATAGTATGGAATTTTTATTTTATTTTTATTTTTTTGCTTTTGTGCTATTTCCAACTCAATTTTTTTAGACGTTCTCTTTATTTATCTTGCAGTCAGCCAGTTCATCCCCTGTCTGAAACAAGCCACTGTATCTTTTAATTGGCTGCCCCTCACAAATGAAGTATTTGACCTGTGGCTAACAGGGCCGTTTATTGCTCACAGCATTTGTTTGCCTTATATTACTGTATAAGGGATATGCAAACTTTATTACATCATGAAGAGCTAAGAGTAGACAAAAACTAAAACAAAGTGTGTAGATGAGCCTGAATCTTTGGCTCCCAACCATTATTTGTACATAGGTTGACTTTATTATGTGAAACTCTGGTCATGGGTACTAAAGGCATTTGCTGCTGTAGAAGTATACATGACAGTAAAATCATAAGAGATCCATTTTAACCTATTTCATAAAATTCTGATTTGCAAAGACTTTACTTGATCAAGGCACTAACGCTATTTCTAGTCTGATGTTGCTTCCATACGTGCGCCAGCTGTGCCTGACCAGGAGAGATGTTTAACCACACACAGAAATGTGTGTGGTTAAAATGAACTACTACTAGCCATTCTCCTGTGGTGTTTCCAGAGGCCAAACAAATGTTCAATCAGAGCTCTTATCTGTTCCAGAAATCACAGAGTGACAAGTGCAGCTGAAATCAGCCTGCCGACAGAGCGATGAGTGATTGGGCAAGACCTTGATTCAGAAAGCAGAACGAGAAGACAAGCATAACAAGAGCAGACTTCTGCTGCTGATTTCATTAAAGTCATGGTGATATGGGGAAAAAGAAGGAATTTCCTATTTCTCAAGTGCCAATTCTCCAGGATGGTGCCAGAGATTCTGCTTCTATTTATTGCTACATATAAATTATTCAAATTGAGGCTGACAGCGGAAAGGATAAGCTTATATTATTCAGGGGCCAGGACCACTTTATACATCCCAAAATATATTATGTAAAATAACTTGTGCTGCTGTTATGCAGACTGATGTTACCAGTGATGAACATCTTGTGAATATATACATAGATGGGGAATTGAACAATTACACAAACATTGTCAGTTATTGAGAAAATTACTGAGGAATGCTTTCATCCATCACACATTTAAAAATGAGTGGGCTGTTCAATGAAACAGCAATCACAAGCCTCACTGTCTCCACTCTCCACTGTATTATGCATTACAGTAGATATTTTAGCGCTGTTAAAGATATCCACTTACATCTGAGGTTTATGGGCAGTTTTTCCTTTTTGTCCCTCACATTTGATCAAGCCAGACCAATCAAATTACTTTTCATGGTTATGTGTACAAGAATTTTATCTCCTCCACACTGAGGACGAACATAGGGGACACAGACTTGTTTTATGACAGATATTAGCCCTGTTTTACAGCTAGCTAAGCCCTTACTACTCGCTCCAATAAAATCAGATAAATAAACCATTTTTATTTTAAAGAATGCCATCAAACACCAGACAATGCCTTTTAACAAAACTAAGATTTGAGAAAAATATCTCCTTGTGGAGGCTGCACTAAATACCAAATACACACAGTCTCAGGGGTAGGAAACTTAATCTTCTGAATAAAAAACAGGTCATATCAGACATCCAAGCAAATTGACCTTGCAAGGTGCTTGTTCCTTTTCTCTGACTAGATCTAAATATGCATATCCTGAAATAACTTGCAACAATAATGATCCACAATGCCTCGCTATCTAAATAAAGGAACATTTCTTAATGGGGAATTAAGCATACAAAAACAAGACTAAGAGTTTCCAGCCATGCTAATAGCTGCATCAGTATGCTGTCATGCTAGCAGCTATGATATTCGCCGACATTCGCTAGCAGGCTAACATGTGCTCAGGGTGATTGGTATCATGTATGACGGTTTTGCAGGTATTTAGTCTTAAACCAAAAAGTTACAGACGATAAATAAGTCTTCTAAGTCGTTACAATTAATTTTTGTTTAATAAAAATGCAAAGCCACCAATGTGAATCCTCAAGTGGCACTAGAAGTAAAGCTAAGTAATTATAATGCATCATCTGGAATGATGAATATCTGCACAATATTTTGTGTATTTTGGAGACTTTAACTGGGTAAGTGAAAACTTTATCTTACTGATAAATGAAAAGTCAAAGGATCCACAAAGTCATTAAAATTCTTCCATTAAGGAGGATAAACATTTGTACCAAGCCTCAGAGTAATCTATCAAATAGTTGTTGGAACTGTTACGCCTCCTCTTCTTTCTGCTCTCGCTGCAGGGTTTCTTTCCACAGCAGTCTGTAGGCAGGAAGAGTTGCTGACATATTATGGGTATGCTTGTGTAGGCCTCCACAACAGCTCAAATAAGCCTGGCCTAACTTTTTTTTATCTGTCTCCTTTCAAGGATCCACCTTTCATGTATTTTTTAATTTTTAAGAAATGAACTGATAATTGGCATCCTAACCTTTCTATCTCCTGTTTTCTCACTCGATGTGAGCTACAAGATGTTTCTGCCAGCACCAAAGTAGTATACTACCCACCAGGCTGACACTACTAAGAGCCATGTCGAAGTGTAGCTGATAACTACAAAGATCTGCTGTAATCTACCATCATAAATCACTACAGTGCATATATGTAACACATTAACGCAACATTTTCACACTTGTGCAGAGGTTCCAAGCAAGAAAACTAGGAGTCAGACTGGGAAGTTCAGTCCCTGAACCAACAGATTAAACCCTGAAGATAAGTAACAGTAACACTTGCCCCTTGCTCATTATCATCACTGAAAGGCCCTTGAGCAAGACACTTAAGCTCCATCTGCTTCAGCGGAAATGTACAGTGACCAGTAGATCAGACAGATTTTGTACTGGGCAGCTTCCAGATCTAAATGCGTTTAAGTGTTTGAGAGTTGAGCAGGCCCTAAAACAGCAGCAGTTAGGGCCAGGAAAGCCCACCCTGGATGGTATAAATAGCCTTTCCATCCAATATATATTTAATATAAACCATGACTACTGGAACTCTGTGGGAGGTTTAAGCTCCATCTTTCAATGTGCGTCTCATTTCGTTAGAGTTTGAGTCATCAGAATTAGTTAAAACAAAATGGCTCAGCTGCACGGCACACAGCAGCACAGCTATGGGCATGATCCTTCCCTTATCACGAAACACACTGCTCAGAGTTGGATTGAGATCAAGCATATTTAGCTTTCCCATGCAAACAGACTTGGTATATTAACGCCAAGTAC